CTCTCTCTCTCTCTCTCTCTCTCTCTCTCTCTCTCTCCTTCCCCCCCTCTCTCTCACACACACCACACTTAAATCTTAAAATAAAAATAAACCTTTAAGAAATACATAGTGTGACAGTGACAGCACATCCACAAAAACTGTGCCTGCCCAGCAGGTCTGCCATAGTCAAGCCCTGAGGGACAATGACTTAAGCTAAAACTAATTTCAAAAAGTAAAGGCGCATGCCTAAACCCTAAAGGAGAGTGCCACCTTGGGACTCTGGCTTCTAAGTGTGTACAACTTCAGCCTCATTTTCATCTTCCTTCTCTGGCTTAAATCTATATTAAAATCTTAATAAATCCCAGCTTTGCTTCATTTTTAAAAAATCACAACTACAGATTACATTTACCCATGTGACAAATTAAAAGTACAACACAGAAAAATGCTCATATATCAATACTTCAAATGTTTAAAACTATGTGGTATAGAGGTAAATAAACACGAAAAACATTAATGGGAAGAGTGCACTTCATTTTATTCCTTTTTAATTTTTTAAGGAAAGTTTGAAGTATGGTTATAATTTATAAATATAGAGTGTCAGTTTTAGAAAATAACAATGAAGTCTAATGAAATAAAGTTTGAAGCTGTGCTAACAATAGAAAACACGAGGGGGTAACTAACAATGTGCTTGTTCCATACAGTTGAGAATTTTAGCCTCAGAGTCAACATGAAAAAAATACTAGGTAATAAACTAGTGTGCTCCAATTCAGTATTGCCAAATCCTATGCACTGATGGAAGCCTCAAGAGACAGACCTAAATCCAAGTATTCTTGTCCTTTTGTCCTTATTTTACTAAATTTGCTAAATTTTTTTGCGAACTATCAAACCTGAAAAAGAGAAATAGCATTGCACGGCTGGAAGGGGCATTATAGTTGGAACTAGGCAGAAGGGACTAACCACTCAAACCTAAACCCTTGGAGCTTCTCTTTCTTCACCTGTAAATTGAGTATATACCAACTTTACATGGATGTGTTGAGAATGAGATGAGAACCCATAGCAAACTACTAGACCTAAGCAAAAGACATAAAGCACAGCTGGAAAACAGGTGAAATTTAGGCTGGAGCAGGTGGGTGCTCTTACTGAACAGTAGTGGGGAGGGGAGGAGAGAAGGGCTGATGGCAGAAGGGTGGTACTTGCTGATGAAAGCACACACTGTAGCACCTCAGCTAAGGGGCAAGGAGTGTCACAGACCTTAAAAATTACTAAGAGCAAAGAATCTGTTCTGGTTGGGGTGTGGCCTAAAATTCATTCATGTGTTGGGAATATTATCCCCCAAAGTCACACTGATGGCATTTGGAGGTGGGGCCTCAGGGTGACTGGGTCAGGAGGGCTCTGCCCTAATGAATACACCATCCACTCATGGGTTCTTGGATTCATGGATTACTGAGGGAGTGGCTTTATCATAAAGGCAAATTCTTTTTGGCATGACTGCTCTGTCCTGTCATGTCCCCAGGTCAGAATGCTTCGATGCTGGCCCCATGCTTAGCTTTGCTAGTCTCTAAAACAGTGAGCTAATTAACTTCTGTTCTTTATAAAATATCAAGCTTGTGGTACTCAGTTACAGCAACAGAAAACATTATCTTCCTTAGATAATCCCCAGCATTCAGAACAATGACCCTAACTTATTTAATAACAATTGAATTCTTCACTTTAAAAGTTGACTTAATGGGACAGACTTAGTAGACTTGCTAGGGGAGGCCTTACCTTCTCCGAGGAGCAGATGGGAGGTTGAGGGTGGTGGTGAGTGGGGGGAGTTGGAGAGGAGGGGGAAGGGGGAACTGGGATTGGAAGGTAAAAAATAAATTTAAAAAGTTGACTTAAAATACATACTAAGCATACTGGCATATGTCTATAACTCCAGCATTTAAGAGGTAGGGGAAGGATGACCAAGAATTCAAGACCATCCTTTAGCTATATATTGAGTTCAAAGACAGGATAAACTACATGAGACCCTATCTAAAAAAAAAAAAAAAAAAAAAAAGCAAATGGAAAAAAGAGCACTTAAGCCCTAATACTTAAGGTCTTCCTAGAAGCCACAAACCAGGGAGGCAGAAAGCAAAGTAGTGTTTTCAAGCAGTTTAGGGAGGAAGGAACAGGAAGAGAAACATGTGTGTTTCAGTGTGGGATATTTAGGAAGTTTTAGAATAGTGGTGACGCCTGTGTAGCACTCAGAATGGACAGGGGTGCACCTGAGTTCTCTATTTCCAAATGGTTAAACTAGTAAAAATGCATGTGTGTGCATGCATGAGCATGTGTATGTGTGTGCATGAGTGTGTGGCATGTGGGAGAGTGCATATATCTGTGTGCACATGTGGAGGCCAGAAGTCAATATGGGTGTCTTCCCCAATCACTCTCTTATTTGGAGACAGGTTCTCTCACTGGATCTGTAGCTCACGAATTGGCTAAACCAGGACCCTGCTATATCCATCTGCCCAGAGCTACAGGAACTCGCTGTCACTCCCCAGTTCCCAACCTGGGTGCTGGGGATCAAATTCACGTCTCCTGTCTGTGAAACAAGCATTTAACCACTGAGCCATCTCCCAAGTCCCCTAAAATAGTAAATTCTATGTTTAGAGATTTTACAATGTTTGAGTGTGAAAGACAAGAGGTATGTTACAAGATGTGAATACATATGACATCAAGCACTTCATGTGTGTGGAGCATGTATGAGTGTGACTCTCACTACAGGAGGACACTGAGGCTATATAAAGTCATGTGACACACAGCCTAAATGTGGTGAGGCAGGGTTTGACCAGCTGGCCCTCTGCAATGCTGAGGCCACCAAACACTTGCAGAGGCAAACTCCTGTTGGGACAATGCTAAAAGCTGAGGTAGTACAGAGATCAGGTAAAAGCAGTGAGAAGCAGTTCAAATTCTAACTCTAGATTTTTAATAAGGCTGAAATGTCCTGAAACATGAACATATTCCTACCTTCATTCTTCATGATGTAGTGGACAATTTGCCCAACGGTGTCACTATTTTCATTTATACTGTCATTCAACTCTAAAAGAGAAAAAGGACAGGATGGTGTTATAAATGTCACCAGCAACAAGTCAGGCAGACATTCGTCTTAGAGCACAAGACCTCACTGAACGTCCAGAAAGTTCAAGCACCCTTGCACAGTGCTAAGATTCTGGCTTTGGTCCTTCAGCCCCCATCTTCCCAATGTCACAGTTTTGAGTTCCTTGGCAGAACACACATTTAAAAATTAAAAGAAAAAGGCTCAGGGCCTCAAGATCAATCTCTCAAGATTAAATACCCACTCACTTTGTCTGACAATACAGTAATACATTCATATCAGTCCCCACTGCTCTTATCTCTCCTTATTACCTTAAACCCTCCTAAAAGCCACAAACCAGGGAGGCAGAAAGCAAAGTAGTGTTTTCAAGCAGTTTAGGGAGGAAGGAACAGGAAGAGAAACATGTGTGTTTCAGTGTGGGATATTTAGGAAGTTTTAGAATAGTGGTGACGCCTGTGTAGCACTCAGAATGGACAGGGATGCACCTGAGTTCTCTATTTCCAAATGGTTAAACTAGTAAAAATGCATGTGTGTGCATGCATGAGCATGTGTATGTGTGTGCATGAGTGTGTGGCATGTGGGAGAGTGCATATATCTGTGTGCACATGTGGAGGCCAGAAGTCAATATGGGTGTCTTCCCCAATCACTCTCTTATTTGGAGACAGGTTCTCTCACTGGATCTGTAGCTCACGAATTGGCTAAACCAGGACCCTGCTATATCCATCTGCCCAGAGCTACAGGAACTCGCTGTCACTCCCCAGTTCCCAACCTGGGTGCTGGGGATCAAATTCACGTCTCCTGTCTGTGAAACAAGCATTTAACCACTGAGCCATCTCCCAAGTCCCCTAAAATAGTAAATTCTATGTTTAGAGATTTTACAATGTTTGAGTGTGAAAGACAAGAGGTATGTTACAAGATGTGAATACATATGACATCAAGCACTTCATGTGTGAGGAGCATGTATGAGTGTGACTCTCACTACAGGAGGACACTGAGGCTATATAAAGTCATGTGACACACAGCCTAAATGTGGTGAGGCAGGGTTTGACCAGCTGGCCCTCTGCAATGCTGAGGCCACCAAACACTTGCAGAGGCAAACTCCTGTTGGGACAATGCTAAAAGCTGAGGTAGTACAGAGATCAGGTAAAAGCAGTGAGAAGCAGTTCAAATTCTAACTCTAGATTTTTAATAAGGCTGAAATGTCCTGAAACATGAACATATTCCTACCTTCATTCTTCATGATGTAGTGGACAATTTGCCCAACGGTGTCACTATTTTCATTTATACTGTCATTCAACTCTAAAAGAGAAAAAGGACAGGATGGTGTTATAAATGTCACCAGCAACAAGTCAGGCAGACATTCGTCTTAGAGCACAAGACCTCACTGAACGTCCAGAAAGTTCAAGCACCCTTGCACAGTGCTAAGATTCTGGCTTTGGTCCTTCAGCCCCCATCTTCCCAATGTCACAGTTTTGAGTTCCTTGGCAGAACACACATTTAAAAATTAAAAGAAAAAGGCTCAGGGCCTCAAGATCAATCTCTCAAGATTAAATACCCACTCACTTTGTCTGTACATGTGACAGTAGGCAGGAGGAGAACAAACCTCCACTTGGAAATTGATCTATATAATTTAGCAGGACAAGAAAAAGAGAGACTGGATGAGACACTGCATCCTACTTGGGAAGATGCATGGAGTAGGGTAACAACACACCCATGTACCTGCAAGAATGTCCCCAGAGCCCCAAGGGAAACTTCTCTCCCATGGCCCAGGGATGTTTGGACGGTCAAAGTGGAAGCTGGTGGCTGAGCCAACCTCCATCAGTTCTGCTCTGTTGACAAACACTCAGGGCTGGATTGCTCATTCGCTGCTTATGACTCATGCTCACCCCGTTCCTCAGCCTCAAAGGTCAGTGGGGGTGGAAAAGTCAACAGTCCAGCAAGCTGGCAAGGACTGAGAAACCTTCTCCCAGGGGCCCAGTGGGTATGGTCCATGGGTGACCTCTCTGCAAAGATACCACAGAGGGACTGAATGGGATGCAGGGATGTAGAGAGTGATCTGCTCACCCTCAGGCCATCAGGAACTGAAGGGTCCAGGAATAGGAATATAGAAATGGAGGATCCGGGAATAGGAATGCAGATATATAGAAATATGAATTTGTATCCTAAAAGAAATGGGAGCTGATAGTCACCAGTCCTGTCAGTAACTAGGAATTAGCTTTTAACAGTGGGTTTTCCTTGCTTTACAGCTAGCACCAAAGGTTAGCTTTTTACAATGGCTCTCTGCAGCTAGGGGTTAGTTTTTTTCATGATAAACCCCTGCCGCTTACAACCCACAACTGCTGTGGACCAAAGTTAACTTTTAATAAAGGTTTGTGCAAGACCCCTATCCCATAAACTTTAACTGAATATCCCTACGTGACTTACGGCTTTGCACTGTTTCGTATCCTTCCCTGCTTTAGAAAACTGGCAATGCCAGGAAAGTGCAGAGGTGCAAGGAGAAACAGCAGGCTAATACAAACACTAACTTAGCAGAAACCTTGTTAGCGGGAATTGTAAAATACAAATGTCTCCAGGCTTAACCTAGAAATTGTAAAAATTCCTTTGTTCATGCCTAATCCTTACTATAAAAAGAGGGCCCTAACCTGCCCCCATTGCCACAGTTTCAGAAGCCCGAACTCGAACTCCGGCTGTGGTCCCAGTTAACTGGTAAGCTTTTTGTGCCCTGCTGTGATTTGGGGGGGAGGGAGGAGAGGGGAGATAAAGTTTGCTTCTGATTTCATAGACTTTGGTGGTGTGTCCCCCATTATTTGCACACCCCCAACCCAGATTCAACAGAAACCTCCCTAAAGCATAGCTGGAAAGGAATATCAGTGAGGAAAACAGGTGCTGTAGGGTTTATCCCAACACTTAACATACCAACAGATGTGCAGAGGAAAAGGTGCGCCGCCCTGACATTCACATGGAAACACCAGTTCTTGCTGCAAGTCTACTGCACTACAACTGCATCTATTCATTTCATGAGATAAAGTCCAGTCACGCAGATTTTTAGCTAGAACTCCCCCTAACACTAACGCCGCAAACCTGATGAGACTGGTTTCACATTCCTACCACTCTTATTAGAATCTTACTCAATAAGTAGCAGCAAGGATTAAGGTTTATGAGTGGCTGTAAGCGCCAATCACCAAAACACCTTGTCTGGAAATTTCACAATAATCCTTCAAGGTGGAGATTATCCTCATTAAAGTAAATGTCAATAGAATTAGAAATAAATATCCACAGCAAAACTAACATAACAGGCCCAGGGCTACCAGGCTCTGAAGGAAACACTCAGCAAGTATTCAGTAAATGTAGGCAAGTGTTCAAACACTGATTACTGCAGAAAATAATGTTTCCTCATCTTAAAAAATGAATGATATATGAAGTTTTTTTTTTTTTTTTTGGTTTTCGAGACAGGGTTTCTCTGTGTAGCTTTGGAGCCTATCCTGGCACTCGCTCTGGAGACCAGGCTGGCCTTGAACTCACAGAGATCCACCTGCCTCAGCCTCCCAAGTGCTGGGATTAAAGGCATGAGCCACCAAAAGAAGTTTTTTTTTTTTTTTTATTTAGTACCTGTTCCTCAACCTATTTAAAAATAAATAAAGCAAAGGTTATTTACCTATCTTTTCCACCTTTTCCTCTTCAACTTCCTGTTCAGCCTCTGTCGTACACCGATAGCCTTTCTTCTTAAGCAAGTGGCAGATGAGGACACCAAGGAGACCCATGATGAAGAACACAGGGACAAGCACATAAGCGATATATTCCGGGTGCCCATTCCCAGCATTGTTGGTGGGTGATGATGGAGTCGTCTCTGCTCGGGATTGTAACGTGCGGCTGCCAGTGTTGTCTACAGAGAGGGACATGCATGGCAATGTTAGATGTTTGTGACAACCCCCAGGAAATATTTCCATTAAATGGTGTGCACTCCAAAAACTGCAGCTATACACGGGTCTGGGGGTCCTGATGCATGGGACACAGGGTAAACTCCCAGGCTAGAGCTGAAACAGTCCAAAAACCAGCTCCTGGAGTATGAGATCTCTATAACAGAGGAGGTCGAAGGCACAGGGTTTTAGAAGAGTGCCCCACACAGAATACACATGCAAGTGTGAAGGGGGTATTACAGCATAGTACTTAGCAGTTATGTGTGAGGACTCGGGAGACACAGGGTGCATACCCAGCTCCACCTTTTAGCAGCACTCTGACAAGGAACAATGATCTAACAACCAAATGTCTCTGCTTCTTATGAAAGGAGCTCCTAACAGTACCTGCACATCTTTCTATAAAGATGAAATCAATCACAAACACAAATGAGGATTTCTGCAGTAGCAAATGTGTACCCTCTTGTCAAGCACTTCCCAGGGATGCAAGTGCATCACACCAAACCAGACAGACAACCATTTAGTTCTCGAATGGCTTATTTTCTAGAAGGATTTAGTGAACTAAGATGGTTAGAGCACAAAGAAGGTGGGGGGAACGACCAGGGATGGCCTCAGATTCCTAAGAAACATAAAAATGAAAGCCTGTGCATTTGTTCATTCATTGGTCTAACGAACATGTACTGTGTGCCTGGTGTGAAGAGAGCTGCTGCTGGGAGCTGGGACAAGAGGGATGGGGACACTAGCCCATTCCCATCTGGGAGCTGGGAAGGTAGCATCAGGTCACATGTAAGGAATTCATGTGCACTGAGAGACAACAGCACTAGGGACCTGTCCACAAGAAAAAGACAGCTGTGGGCGAAGGTATGGTTTGGGAAAAAAAGATGTTTACTTTTAGATCTATCCCATGGACTTATCCCAGAGGCAGCCTGAAAAGGCAGACAGTAAGAGCCATGTGACCTCTAGAAAGTAAGACAGAGAAAGCCTGGGCACACCCCATCATGATAAGTGGTTAGGAAAGAAGAAACAGACTGCAGAGAAAACCTGTGGAATAGATGGGGAAAATTATGAGAACATGGAGAAGAAAGGAGCCCCTTCACTCTAGAGGCTAACTGAAGCCTCTCCCCAGAGGAGAAGCAAGAACTACAGCACAACTAGCAATTGCTATGTAGGCTGCCAACATACAGATGGATGGATGGATGGATGGATGGATGGATGGATGGATGGATGGATGGACAGATAACTAATTTTATTTTGAAATAGCAAAGATTTTGAAATAACCAGACTTGGGGGCCCAAAGGTATATGACCCCGCCTATTTTCTGGGGTTCTCAAACAAGACTATGAACTGTACACTGTGAGCCCTCTTACCTTCAGGTATCCAAAGATCTACAGTTTTGCCTTAGTAACTGTAAGCCTGTCCATACCACTCCTCCCCGAGGAACCTCCTGTGCAACCCTCTGAAGATAATAGTTCAAACCCCATGCAAGCAGTCTGTGTCTCTTTAAAAACAAAGGGAGACCTCTAAGAAACCCACACTGGTATTCTCCAGTATGTTACTTTCTTCTGAGCACCTCTCCTGTTTTAAAATCTGTTTAAAAGGCTTCTAATAAACTCTGCCTCTGCTTCCTATCAGCTCGTCCTGAAATTCTATGTTAAAGCCAAGATAATTTTACCTAAGTTGGGATGCCTAAAAGATTAAGGGAACTGAGGATGCTTTGTCTCTGTCCCTGCTACTCTGGTTGACTAATGCCACAGAAAAATAAGTAGCAAATGAAAGGAGTCAGGTGTTCGAAAGTGAAGGAAAACGAGTATTTGGCTGAGACGAGGTCTTGGCTTGGATTCTAATGTGATAAAAATGAAACTTCCGACACAGAGAGTGTCACCTACCCTGCAAAAGAAACCCAAATCAGAAGGACAGCATTCTCAAGAACACACTGGTAAGAAAGGATGAGTTGATGTGTGGCTGTATTTACTGATATGAAATGGGCACAGGCCATAACCACAGGCAACAGTATCAAGTGAAGCATAACTTTGTAAACTGGAGCCCATGAAACAAAGGGCCGCTTCTTTCTCACACGGAAATAATCCATTATTTTTGAGCAGTAAAGGAAATTGCCAGTTTCTTTAGTTTGTAAATGGACGCATTCATTACTTTATTGGGCCATGTCTAGAATTTGAGATAGCATAATTTTTTCCTTACTTCCCATTCAAAGACACACATACACACATTGCACCTGACTCTTCATAAAATGCATTGCACATATGATAGAGACCCCACAGATTATAATAAAAATTTTAAATTCCCTTTTTTCTTAACTGTTCTTATAGTTAGACACACAACTACCACTGTCTAAAAGATTCAGTAGGGTAATATGTTGTATAGGTTTATACCTTCCTTCCTTCCTCCCTCCCTCCCCCTCCCTCCTTCCATCCTTCCTTCCTCCTTTGCTCCTTCCAGTACTCATTTCATGCACAGGAACATCTGAAAGCCAAACAGCTTTCCTCAGAGCCACTACCTGTTTCAGTCAGAAGGTGAAGACCAATTAGCAGCTGGGAAGCAGGGATGAGAGCGGTGGGGCTCAGAACTGGTGTCACAAAGCATCTCTGAATGCTGAATCAGGTGGCCAAGCACGTGTCTTCACTGTCCACTTGACATCTGGTAAACCCTCGCTATATGTTCAGAGATGTGTGATTTGCAAACAATAATCATTTACTTAATTTCAATTATTGTACAATGAAAAAACTACAGATGATATGAATCTAAATTTGTGAGCCATGCAATTCTAGAGATACAATAAAGAACTGAAGTTAAAATCTCAAGCTGTCTGTAAGATATAACCCTTCAGCCACGTAGAAGAAATCTCATCTTTGGTAAGAAAAATGTAAATGTTCAATGATTGTTTTCCTCATTCATAAAATGCAACCAGAGTGACTGTAGCTGAGCTGGGGCATAGTGGCACATATATGTAATCCTAGCACTGAGAAGACTGAGACAGAAGGATTTAAGCCCAAGGCCAGAAGGAGCCTGACTCAAAACAAAGCAAAGTGCTGATTGCATCCTGGATTTTAAAACACAAGCCCATTTTTAGATGGGGCCCTCACTGACAGGTGCAGCCACCAACTCCTCTCCTGAAAATTCTTACCTCCGATACTGAATGTGTTGGGAGTTGGTGCACTATCAGTGTCTAGCCCCCAACCCTTAAGGAACTGACATCCTATTTCCTGTATCTTTAGGCATTTGCCCTTGGCACTCAGCCACACATTATACAGAAGACCAACCAATCTGCATAGAGAAATCATCAACAGGCATTGACTTGCCCCCAGGAAACAAGCTGGTTTGGCAGTGGACCCTGTAGCCAGAGAATGCTGAGATGCTGCATGGAGCAAAGATGAGCTGTCCACATGAACACTGCCCAGACTGACTGTAGCTCCTTACACCAATAAGTGTGTGTTTTAGGACACTAAGCTTCAGGTAATTTGTCATTTTGCAACAGCAAGCAGAATCTCTACCCCATGAAGTCACTGAGAGGATTAACTACACTAACATGGAAAGCTCTCAGAAGGCAAGCCTATTGAAGAAGTTTAGTGACCATCACTGACCTGCAGGACCTAGAAAAGTAGCAACCTGCCACATGAAGCTACTGAAATGTGAATTTAAGGCAAACTTTGAACTTAAAATTTCTGCTCCTCAGTTGTATTAGCGTATCTCGGATGTGCATCAGTCACATGGCTGTTTGCTGTCCTCCTGGGCAGCTCAGATAATGAACGTTCGTTCATTCCCATTGCTGCAGAAAGTTCTGTTTATCAACATTTCAGATTTACAAGGAAGCATTAACAACAACAACAACAACAACAACAACAACAACAACAAAAAGTATTGGCTGGAGAATCAACATTTCAGATTTACAAGGAAGCATTAACAACAACAACAACAACAACAAAAAGTATTGGCTGGAGAATTTACTGTGACCTATCTAAACAATCCTATGAAGAATAACTTTTAGATAGCATGGTAACTATTAATTAACAGAAAAGAGTGAATAATGCTAAAAGTATTAAGTTGGTATACGGTTATCTTTCTTTCAATTAGCTAATAAATAAATTGTAGAGGTAGTGGTTGGATGGGTATGATCAGAAACACACTGTATAAATATATGAAATTTTCAAAAACTAAGTTTAAAATGTTATTTTAAAAAACTTTCTATTGCCTTCAGCTGAATTATGTCAGAATTATGATTAAGTCATTTACTGAGTTAACAGTATTACTGATCTAGGTCAAATAACAGCAACACCTACATTTTGACAGTAAGAGGTCAAAGTCACTCATTATATCTGCTGGAATAGTGTGCACATTTTAAAGCACTCACAAAAGTTCTAAGGAGATAGAGAAAACTCAAACAGTCCAATGTTGAATGCCCAAAGTGGGGTCAATGTCTTAGCTGCAATACAATCTAATTATTAAAATTAAACTATATATTAAAGTATAAATATGTATAGTGACCAAAAATGATTAAATGATTCTGGTGGAACAATGAGATTAAATTTTATTCTCTGCTTTACTGTGATTTCCTAAAACATGAATTTTTGGAGGAATCTCCATACTGTTTTTATTTTTTATTTTTTTCATTTTTCATTTCCCTTCCATTTTAATTTTTCTCTTCCAGAATCTACCATGCATCACTGCTGGGAAGTCTTTTCAAAATGGTAACTGTTCAAATAATAATAATAATAAATCTCTGATATTTGATTCTAACTTCAAATCTTACATGTAGTTTCTGTAAGCTCTTGGGCCCTAAGGTGACAGAAGGACATGGAACAAGATATAGATGGCAACTGAGACTGAGAATTATCTGGGAAAGGTGAATCTGTTAGGTGTCATACATGGAAGTCTTGTTATGGCACCTTTCAACTCCATAAGTTGAATTTTGAACAGTGCTATTGGCTTGGATATCATCCTGAAATTGCCACTA